CAACGTCTCCTCCAAAAGCCCTGCTCCACCAAAGGCAGCAGAGCTGTGGCCTCAACTCCATCTGTGACAGGCTGACAGCCACCTTGTAGCCAAAGTGGCAAGTTCAGATGTAAAAGAGGAGCATCTGGGATGGGAGTTAGCAGGACAAGCTAACATGGAGACAGGAGCAAGCTGGTGAGTGACAGCCAGGGGAGATGAGCTAATGCCCACAGGGTAGATGGAGCACCTTTACCCCTCCGTCAACTTTGCTTGGTGAACTTGAATTGAAACATGGATATTTCTACTAAAGGTGATGCAGATGTACCCTATGTGTTCTCAGGCTCATCTATAAGCAGTCTGCTTGCATGGCTTCCTATTTGTTTCCATTACTGGGTAAAAAAGTAATTGGAAGAGTACATAGAAGCTTACCTTCAAAGCTGACTGTCACGGCTGCTTGGCCTTTAGTTTGTGACCTCGCTAGGCCACATACTCCATTTTGATCTTCTAAAACTCCCGTAGGAATCATTCCCATAAACTGTACCGACAAGCCCCTGGGATGATGACTTCAGTCCTTCATCTCTACATTTCCTCTAATTTTCTACTCTCCATCCCCCTGATTTGGAGATCAATCATCTCCCTCCATTCACACTGCTCCTAATATTACAGGTGCTAAGAAAAATCAGAATAAGCATATGTACTTAGAATCTTCCTCCTAGTCTTTATATCTTGATGATAACATATCTGTTCACCCTCTCTTCCTATTCCAGAGTTCTTTTTGTGACTTAGGATGCTTCTCAAGTTTTTCCAAATAATATAGATTCCTGTGGCTCAAATGAGAAACAAATAGGAAGATAGGCAGGGGTGCTGTTTACCAAGATATTTACTGTATTGGTTTTGCATGGCCAGGTTTTGGTAGATGGAGGGTTATATGGGTGGCTTCTGCGAGAAGCTGCTAAAAGCTTCCCCCATGTCCAACAGAATCAATGCCACCTGACTCCAAAATGGACCTGCAGCTGGCCAAGGCAGAGCCCATCAGCGACAGTGGTAGTGCATCTGGGGTAAGAATTAATCATGGAACCATAGAATGGTTTGGGTTAGAAGGGACACTTTTCAACGGAATTTTCATCAGTGACCCCACGTTTGAGTCATTCTGACCCAGACAAATGTCCTGTTCTCTGATGAAACCTTAAAAATTACATTCCAGTTTAACAGAGAGTCCTGTCTCTTAAATAACTAAAATACATTTTAGTTGGCCCAGAAATTTCATTTAAGGATTAGTGAACCCTATTTTGCCTATCATGAGTAATTTACCTCAATTTTGTCCACTCAGAAATGGTTTTATCTTAACAGAAATGAAAGCAAAGAGTTTCACTTTGGTCACTTAAGAGAATCTATTCAGTGAGTAATCTTGGCATGAGCAGTGACTTAATACTGAGGATTTTAAATCCAAACTAAGCCCTGCTCTTTCTTGTTATTATCATTTTTAGCTTATACCTTCAGCTCAGGAAAAGTTTCATGAATATGCTGCTAATATTTGTAATTGCATTAGTATTCTAATATTCCATAATTTCAAATGGAAATACATTGAACTATTTTGCAATATTTTGTAAGCTTTATTTCAATATGAAGGACGTTTCACTTATTAAGGAGGTCGTGGCACCTGTATCGGTGCCATTATGTTTGAGAAACGTTTCTTCATCCTTGGTTTATATTTATGTTGTTCTCCTTAACTTTTTTTTTCTTTTTAAATAATGGTTGCTAGCAAGACTGTGCAAAGCAGGCTTAGTGACAAGATTATGCTGAATGTTTTGCATGAAATATTTTGCTGAAGAATCTCTAGTTCCTACCTGCATTCAGAGCAATTTACAGTAGTTTCTGTAGCTGTGATGAGAAGTGGCTCACTTTTGTGGGGGTTTGGCTATATGAAAAATCAGCTGTTGTATCAGCTCTTCAGAAGGAGTTGGGGTAATATACCACAATAATGCAAAGTAGGAGATGTGAACCTTTTGAGAATTTAAAAATATGGCATTATCTTCTTTGCCCAAACTACTTCTGTACTCAGAGTAAACTGAGCAGTTATTTCTCAACTGAAAATTTCAGATAAGAAGCAAAAATGTAAGAATTACATCTATGAGAGAAACCTTAACAATTTACAAATATTGAATAAAAATACGTGTTGTTTTAATATTTTATAAAATTAAATTATAATAAATCTAGTCATTTTTCCATGTGAAAATTAAAAGATCTCCCACTAAAATGCTTTTTAAAATTATGTCATTATTTTTAATAATAATAATAATAATAACATTTTTGGAAAGATAGAATCAAAGAAATGGTAGTGAGCAATCAAAAAAGCTGAATGAGAAGCAAATACATCCTTTTCCAAGGATATCTCAATAAATATAATGGAAACTTTGTTTTGTGCTTTGCACTGATTGTGTTGTAGCCACAGTCATTACTTTCAAGTCATTAGCTTCATTAAACTAACTCTACTTAGGATCAGCTCTATATATACAGTAGTATCACATAGTTTACAAAGATCTGGAACCTTTTTCTAAAGCATGAAACACATATTTAAAAAAAAATTAGTTCATTGAATGGTAGCTTTTCAAGGAGCTAACTTTTAAATGGTTTTAGTCAGTGGTAAAAGATGGAAAGACTGTCCCCTTGTGGATAGGAATATGAGGAAAAGTGATACTGTAACTCACTGATAGCAGCAGTAACCCCAGGCATTTGGAGTCCTCATTAAGAAATTGGCCAGAATCCTGCCTTGCACATTGTTCATAAATCAACACTCAAAAGTACAAAATGCTACGAAGAGCCTTTTAATTTAAATTGGTTGGCCTGACAAACAGCAGAGGGTAAAGACTGAGCTAATGTAGCATCCTTGTTAACACTATCATTCCAGGTTAACACCTAAATCTAACTGCTGCAGGCAGCTGCAGTGTGGCCTGCATTTAAGAAAGCTTTTTTGAGAAGAACAGAGCAGACAATGGGAGAAGGCTCCACCATAAAGACAAAGCCTTATGGTATATCTATAAACCAGTGTGCTACCCACACACGTGCATCTGTCAAACCTGTGCTACAGCATCCATCTACAGGGCAAAGCACCATTGTCCTCACTTCTGAGTTGCACTGACAGAGGGACCAGAGGAGGATTGGTGCACAGCCAGTTGAAGACCCTCTCCCCTGCCTGCAGATGTTAGATTATCTGTCAGCACTACAGATTCCCCACACACATTGTCACCTCTGACCCATGAGAACTACCAGAACATGCCAGCACCCCATCAACCCTCAGGTCTGGGATAATCAAGGGCAGCTTCAAATTTCTGCACAGGGAAGCAGAACTTCATGGGTCTCCTGAGAACTTCATTGGGCTGCTGAGATAGCAGGGGATGTTTCTCATAGGAAGTGTTCTACTTTATGAAGTCCAGTCCTTCCTTAATGCAGGCAGTTACAGCCACCCTAACACGTTTATCTTGTTTTGCCTTTATTAAGAATTCTCTCCCAATTACTTCAATTGCAAGAATTTTTTGAAATATCATTAGAAACCTCACAAATTTTAGCTTGGCCATATTGACAATCAGTGTATATCTATTCACTATATTATCCTTTTGTTTAAGCAGCTTTTTTTAACACCCTATAACTTAATCCTTGGCAGACAGTAATCATATTTCCTCCTAGCCTTTTCTTTGTCCAAATAATCAAGCCGCATGACTGCAACTTTATTGTACAGGCCAGGCTCCCCAAATGCCTTCATAATGTGATGTGTCACCTGAAAGCATACTGTGGGCTCAACTTCTTCCACCAGCAATCACTCAAGAGTGTACTCAGTCTCATCAGTACAAAATCTTACTCTGTTCCTAATGGAAACACTTTGACTGATGCCTCCTTTGCTAATATTGGTTCTTTACACAGTCACATCTCAGAGGTCACTCCTTAGAAGCCCAGCTAACTCAGTAGTTGATTTTATCTGTCATTTCCTACTGATTGTAGCAGAAATTCTCATTCTTCCAGCAATGATTGAGAAACAGGTTGCTGACACCCTTTGAAGACTTTCTACCAAAAAAGTCCTGAAGGTTTGTGGCTAACCAGTCCAATACTGGAAAGCTGAGGTGCAGGTTGGTGTGCAGGGTGAAGGGAAGATAGGCCTGAAATAATATTTGGCCTTTGATAGCAGAACATTTGTGGAGTCACCATCTCTGGAAGTATTCAAGAGGCATTTGCATCTGGCACTGGGTGATACGGTTTAGGGGTTACAGTGGTAGTGCTGGATTAACAGTTAGATTAGGTCTTAAAGGTCTCTTCCAACCTTGATGATTCTATGATTATATGATCATGAATTCTGCTAGGTGGAGCTCACTGAGTCACAAATTGTCCTCCACAAAAAGCGAGTATGTCACATCTACTACTCTGTGATACACAAACAGACTAAGGAGTTACTCGAAAGGTCGAAGATGACAATATAAAAACCCATGATGAGTCATTGCAGGCCTCGATAGACACAAATATTTGCAGACTTATATTAGCACTTTTCATTCATATATATCCCATTCCTAAATTTATGGCACTGGGTGAGTTCCATGTGCACACTGACAAATGCCCAAGGGCCTTATAATTTGGACAATGTGGGATTCTAGTAAAAACATCCAGACATACATGCAGCAAGTCTACCCTGTGGGTACGGATTTTTTATTTTTTGGGTTTTTTTGGATGTTACAGGTCGCTTTGACTGTCAGATGAGAACAAACTAAAAGTGAAAAAGAGGAAATTCTTAAAACCTGTTTCCTCTATCTCTGTCTTTAACGCTAGGAAGCAAAGAGAAACCAAACTGTTTATTTCTGTACTTCATGGGGGAAGCGTCCTGGGGGTTGTGAAAGTTCCCTCTTTCCTTCCCGGTGACGAAACTTCATTAAAAAAAAAAAAAGCTCGTTTTTGCATAATTTCATAACCCTAGTTCGGGGCAGTGGCTGAGGCACAGCCTGAGGAGCCTCCCTGCCCTCTCCCGCCCCGCCCCCCCCCCCGGCACGGCCCGGCCCGGCCGGCACTCGGCGCCCGCCATGGCGGGGCCGAGGAAGGGGCCGGGGGGTGCGGAGGAGCCGCCGCCGCTGCTGGTGAAAATCGTCATGGCCGGAGAGTCCTGCGTGGGGAAGACCTCCATCGTGCGGCGGTACACGGAGCCCGGCTCGCCGCCCGCCGGCACTCCCGCCACCTCCTACTTGGCCACGATCGGTGAGTGACCGCTCCGCGTGCCTCCGCCCGCCACGCTCCCTCGCCTTGCCCTCTCCTCCCCGGGTGCCCACGGCTCACACACGGCCGGACCGGCGCTGCCAGCGCGGCACTGCCGGTCTGGGAGATGTCGAAGCTCCCTCTGCTGAGCTCTGCGCGTGTCCAGCAACTTAAACCTGTGCCAGCGTGTCAGGACATGTGTCACCCAGAGCCACTGCAGAGTGCTGGCCTGTTACACTGGCCTTGCTGTTCATCTGGGCTTTGGGAACCTACTCCCGTTTTAAATTTATGAAGACAACTTGATCTTACTGTTGCTATTGCCCACGGAGGCCCTGCTGCTGTACACTGGTGTGGGTACAGAGAAAGCCGTACAGAATCACAGAATCGATTAGGTTGGAAAAGACACTCTGAGATCATCAAGCCCAACTTGTGACTGAACACTGCCATGTCAACTAGTCCATGGCATTAAGTGCCGTGTCCAGTCTTCCCTTAAACACCTCCAGGGATGATGACTCCACCACCTCCCTGAGCAGTCCATTGCAATGTCTAATCACCCTTTCTGTCCAATCTCAACCTTCCCTGGCACAGCTTAAGGCTATATCCTCTTGCCCTGTCACTTATTGCCTGGGAGAAGAGGCCGACCCTGACCTGGCTACAATCCTCCTTTCAGACACCAACCTCAAAGAGATGTCAGATATCAGTAAAATGCCCAGTTCCTCAATCTTTCAGGCTAGAAAGGGATTTAACTTTTCACTAAAAATTTTAATGGTATAAAGTCAAAATATGTACTACCGTAGGTAGCTGCATGCATGATGATTAAAGAAGAGCCATTGATGTGATGGAACTAATTAGCCCTTGCCAGACCATGTCCATTCTATGCTGTACCACCCTACTACCTCCCCCAGCACCACTGCAGATGGGTGATGATGGGGAACTTCCCACTGCCTTGGTATCCCAGCCCCACAAGCTGACTGTCCACATGCTGAAACCTGTGTCATCAGCAGGCAAACGTTTTATGTGTGTGCAGTGGTTTGATTTGCTGTGGAGATTTTCCCAATTTTTGCCTGGGAAATTTTCATTTTTAAAAATTTATGTGTATGAGTTTGTGGGTTTTTTTTCATTTTCTTTGCTCTTGAAGAGAAGACTAAGGTATGCCAGGAAATTGTGTATTCCTGCATTTGGAATATGCATGGCTCTTTTAAACATTTTTCAGTCTGGGAGGAGTTGGTTTATCTGAATTAAATAACAGATAGTAGCTGTGGCAGTAGTTGGCCTAGGGAATACTTAATGTACATGACATGACTTGACCTGCCCACATGAGAACAGCTGAACTTAAACCACTTTTTATTTTCTTGCCCATTCTTGCAAAACGGTCTCTGAAACCATCATGAACAAGGAGGGAAGAACAGAACTAACAGTGAAGTTGGGAAATAGATCCTAATAATAGGCAACTTATTGCCAGGCTTAGCAAGGAACTCCAAAGAATGGCCATGAAAATAAACATCAACTTTGTTGATGTGTTTTATACTGGAACAGAGATTCATGACTATGAGGTTATTATTTTGAGATACAATTTCTTTTACTCCTAATTCAGTTCCCTGCAGACTCAAAACCTTTTCTAAAGTGATGATATTAAGAATATGGTTTCCAAGTTATAACTTAAACCATTTTCAAGGAATAGTGAAGATAATATGAGTTTTTGTGACAGTTATGGACTGAGATTAACTTTGTTAGTTTTATTACTGACACCTAGTATTGAGAGATTTAAAAACTGTTTATGTAAATGAATCATCCAGATGTGGGTTTTGTTACCTGAATATGGTAAGTTATTTCTGAAATACTATGTTCCATTTAATTCCATCTTAACAGGTGTATTAGAGCTTAGACTTTAAAAGCAAATGAGATTGTGAGTGATGTCTTCCAAAAGAATAATATCGGAAGTGAAAGTTTCTTTTTTCATGTAGACAGCTACAATGGAGAGGAAGACCTATAGGTTGTGGCTCCTAATGTTGTAAACGAAGAAGACACAATACAATGTTTTCTCAGTTCCTGACGTCTTCTCCCTCATTGTTGACGCTGTCAAAACAAGTAACTGTTTTTATCTGGCTGCCTGTTTCATACAAGCCAAATGATCCCTTTCTGTTGTGCAGCCTATTAAATGCTCATCTGCTGTTAACTGATTTTTCACCTTACCTATCCAGGTGAAACGTGATTTGAGTAGAGGGAAGATTATCCCAGCTGTGCAGTGTTGCAGCCTTCCGAGTTCCCTGACAAATTCATGTGCCCCCACCTTCCTTAGTGGCAAAGGGTCATATGGACAGAAGTTAAAAGGCTGTTGAAAGTCTCATTTCTGTGTCATCATGAATCACAGATTTGTGTTACTAGGAAAAATTCTAGTGTTATTGCAGGGGAAAAAAGCAACCAAACATTTTATAGTAGGCTTCAGTAGTAGCGATCTTTTCTAAAATTATGTATTTCATGAGAAAAAGCAAAAAATGCATTCACAGTAAATTAGCATTGAAAACTTCTAATGCATCACTTAAACACTCAAGGCTGGGTGCCCTTCCTCCTCTTCAATTACACAGTTCGGATAAATTATAAGCACTTATAGTTTTCTAATTAAACTTGTACGCATCATAAGGCGGATGCATTGTATTATGAATAGACTATAAAGAATAAATGTTTTTGTTTAAACAATGGCATTGCATATAAAGCCGTAGAGAAACTTTATGAACAAAAAAACCCCTTCTATACCAGTGAACAGAATTGTGATCTCATGGACTGTGAGGTTATTTTGCTGTATTAATGGTTGCTGTGGTCCTGCAGCCCATGTGTTTTCTTTGAGAAACATTTCTGCAGAGCTCTGAGTCCTCTCAAATCTGTCATAGTTGAAAGTGGTACAACTTCAGCATTAGGATTAAAAAGTCTGTGTAGATGCCCTGATACTTACTTTAGAAGGAAATAAAGTAGAACTAATCAGCAAAAATAAACCATAGTGAAGGTATGTGTTAACATCATCAGTAGCAATCCACATCTTAATTCCTTTTTCTTTTTTTTTAACAAAACTGGATTTTTTGTCACTGTTACTCTTCTGTCGAACCATCTTATCCTATGAGTTGCTTTTCTTAGCAAACCAGCAATTATCATTACTTGAGACTGCTCAGATACCTCACCACTTCAGATATTTCTTGACATGTACAGGAAAAGAGCCTGATACAAGTAATACACCAACAACTAGTAGGGGTTAAGTATGGGTAGAAGTAACACAGTGGAAATTCAACCCACAACATCTCACTGGGTGCTTGCCCAGTTTGGGCACAGGAGCTGATAGCAACTGTTTCCCTATTTCTGGAGTTGAAGACAATGTATTGACAGTAAGTGGGCATTCACCATCCTCTGCCCATGTTCTTACTGTTGCATCCTGCTAAGCTGCTCAAACTTGCATTTTCTCTGGATAGACATATTTTTTGAGCATTTTCTGTCAGGAACTCACCAGCTCTGTTGGAGTGAAAAGTGTGTTGTCATTTCTAGGCCAACTCCAAAAGACCTCTTTTGAAGAGGACTTTTGCAGATGGCCAAAGCCTATTTTATAGATACTGAGGGAAGAGAGGGGCATTTCACAGCTGCATTACCCTGAATTACTGACTATTTTTGTGTGTTTTAGACCTAATTGTCTATAGGGTGCATCAGTCCTAATATGTGAATATTTGTTCTTTGGAATATAAAGAAAAGAAATTAATTTCATGGCTATAAAACTTGGAAATAACAACTAGAATTTGAACTTGCACCCAGCATACCCCTTCTCGGTTTCATTTGACAGCCTAAAAGAACCAAGTACAAGCTGTTGCATTCCAATAACATATATCTCCAGAGCTGTAATCAATGCTCGCTTTGTTATGTTGGTCATGTTGTACAACACGTAGGCCTAAAAGCATCTGAAATCCGTGAGCTGTCTTTGGCATTGTGGTTCTCATTTTTCTTTTCTGTCTTTGCAATTTGCTAAGTTTGCTGGAAATTTCATATAAAGACATGAACAATTCATGCATGCAGAACATATTGACTTCTGTTTTTCACTAACATTCATTGACCTTTTAGGTCAATAAATTTTGAAGTTGACTTAAGAAGTCAATACGCCTGATTTTAATTTAGATTAAGTTTTAGTCTGATTCAGCATTCTGCTTCCCTTTTTATAAATAAATAAAAAAAAGCTTATAGCAATTATTATTAAAATGTATGTCAACTAAGAACTTTCTCATATAGGTTTGGGAATCCCTGTCTGCTTTATAATTTTTTGCTCTATTCCCGATCCACCATTTGAAAGCGATGTTTCAGCCTCCCAGTGTGTACCCTGTCCCTCTCAACATCAATTGTAGAAAATGATACAGATAATTAAACAAAACTGTGTGAATTTCAGGAGCAAATGTTTTCCATCACGTTGGAATTTCACCTTACATGAGCAAATTTGACTTAAATTACATTTCCATCTGACATTATTAATTCCATCAAGGAAGCTTTGTGTAATACTAATTACAGATACCAATTATACTATTTCATCTTTCCTTTCCATTGAAGCTTCAATGAAAATTCATCAAGTGAAGGACATGATTATCATAATAATTTTTTAAATCTACCTCAACTCCCGTATCACATACACACAAAAAATGTTAATGGCATTGGAATCATGCATGTGAGAGTGTACTTGTCAAAATTTTGTGCACAATACATCTGTCAGTACAAAGGAGGGGAACATTTCCTCTGTTGCATTTTTTAGTTTGCTGACATGGATACTTTGCTTTGATAAATTAATTTGGCAGTCAGGTTCTTACAGAAATCAGTACAGTGGTATTAACTCAAAATTTTTGTGATTTTTTTCAAACTGTCTAGGTCTTTCAAATGACATTACTACAGGTGAAAAGCCACTCTGATGTAATTTTAAGTAGCTGTAGTTTGATCTTATGGAATTTTGACTATACAGTATGGTCAGCTGTTGCAACGCCACCTTAACTTCACTTAATATAATTGACAAAAATACCTTTATTGTTTTTCAGTGGGGAAAAAAGCTATCAGAGAAATTATCAAATGTTATTTCAAGCTTCAGCAATAAAGTAGTAGGGAAACGATGGATAACTCTGAGAAAAGTGCCACTCTAAGATAGCAGCTGATAGCTGGCTGATTGTAATATTGAAACTAAAACTTTAGCAGCCCATAAATGCAGGTATAATCTACTACATTTGGAGTACTAATTTGATAATATAATGAAGGAAAACACCATAAATTATAAGGAAAATAACTTTGAGGAAAGATCTGTAATCTATGTAGAGACAACATTCTGCACTGATTTCAAATATTAATGCTTGCTTTTAGAATTCTGGATCTGTGATACATGGTGATTTAGGTTGTAGAGACAATCCTCTTCATATTGAATTAAATCCCATGTAAGTTTTGTGTTTGCGTGTAATTAGTACAGCCAGCTCCTATTCCTGTTCATGTAACTCTGGATACTTTTTTTAGGGATTTGGAAGTAAGGACAGAAAAACGGTGTGGCACGTGTAATGGCTTTGTAAGCATGTCTGCCTTCCCATTCATAGCTGCCATGCTGTTGAAAATCACCAAGATATTTGCACAACATATTATTGTGCATGGGCCATGAAACTGCTGTCATGTCACTTGCCTATCCATGGAAATACCTACATGTAGTTTTAGAGTATCTGCACCTTTGCTTTGGCCTGCCCCTTCATTGCTTGGTATTGGCATTGCTTTGTATTGTATTTGTGCAATGTATTGGCACATAGCTGCTTTCATCATTGAATAATTTCCTTCTACAACTTCCATTTTGAATGTGTATGGTTGGCTAGTTATTCTTTGTTTGGTATTGTTCCTTTTCACTTTCTGTTCAAAATTGCACCATAACTAGAGCTAAGAAACACTATTCAAAGGGAATCCATGTTAGTATGAGAAATGTTACAGATTTTCCTTTTTTTCTTTCAGGCATTGATTTTAAAGTAAAGCCAGTAATGTTTAATGACACAAGAGTGAAACTTCAAATATGGTAAGTTTTAATTTGTATCAGAAATGAGAGCCAACTAAATTGCATTATGACCTGAAAAATCTCATCTGCTTTTGATCGTGTGTCTTCCTGACATGCAAGCATTCCTACTAGGTCATTTTAAATTTGAATTTAGCCTAGGGGAGCACATTTTTTGCAGCAACTAATGTAAGTTTAAAATACGGTTGTTCCTGGGTTACTTTAACAGTAAAACTTGCAGCATACAAACAATGCAGATCTACGATCCATATTAAGTATATTTAATTGTATAGGAACATCGAGGGAAGTGACAAAGCAAAAAAATTTTACAGTTCATTACCCATCAAATGCGTGTTCAAAAGCATCACCAAGAGAAAGCCACTAAGAGGAATCTGTGAACATACACTATTTTTTGGGTTGGAGGTTTTTCTAAAGAGTATATAGGGCTACTGACAGCTGTCTCTCCAGGCATCCAGTACTGAATGTTGTTTATACTTACCGGTATTTAACTTCTCAAGGAATTAATCTGTACGTGAATTACCTGACCATTATTAGATCTGCAGTTATTCTGTCTCAAGCTTTAATACAAAAGTATTGAAGGCTTGTTTATAGCTTTCTTAAGGCATAATTATGTGTAGGAGTCACTGCATCCCTGTATTTTGTAGACTTTTTCCTGAAACCTGTCTTCCATCTAAACCAGCTTACTGTTTGTGTCAGAGTTTACATAGGGCTTGTCAGAATATGGGGATGTCACCTGACTCCTGCAATGCTTGTACTCCAGATTTTTTTTATCATCTGAGTTGTACTGATCATAATTATTATGTATATAAAAAAGCAATAGTGGACTTGACATTACACTCAGACTTCAGCCACTGGTTTGGCTTCCTTAGTAGGGCTGTATTATTCAGAATAAATTTCCAGTGTATTTCTTTTAATGCTGTGTCTCTCATCTGTATCTTTTCTTGTTCCTTTCACATTAGAGTATATAATTCAAAATTTGGACAATACTCCTTAAAATAAAGGGGGTTCTGCAGTTTGATCATCTTTTGTTTGTTTGCATGTGTGTGATTTATTGCAATTTCTTTCAGGGATACTGCTGGCCAGGAACGATTCCATACACTTAGTACTAGCTATTTCCGTGGTGCACAAGGCTTTGTTCTTGTATATGACATCACAAATCTGAAGAGTTTTCAGAGTATAACAATGTGGATGCAAGACATATATGAGGTAAGTATATCTGTCAGTGGTTGATCTAATGAAAGTAATTAATGTGTTTTTTTAAATGACTGCATGAGATCTATTCTTGTTTCTGTATGTTTATAAACAGAATTTCATGCATTTAACTAAGCACACAGTATGATAGTAGAATTACTGTCATCTGAAACTGGAACAGAATGTGTATTATCTAGGACAAGCCCATGGTGATGCAGGAATGTTTTCTGAAGTACTTCTAAAACATAGCTTCCAATCCAGGTTTGTGCATGCTGAGTTATGATGCTTTTGTCGCTGGTGTGGCTACACATAAGTCAATCTCCTTGAGCTCATCCCAGGATTTTAATTGGTTTCTGTATGAAAATTCCATATCACAGCCAGTTATTTCCCTTTTCTATTTTCATTATTTTAGTGTAATTACCTCATCCCAAGATCAGTAAACATCCTCTTTGTCCTTGCTGGGTATTCCTTGAGAGGATGGTTTCGAGAGGGAGGAATTGGGGTGGGAAGCTGTTTGTTTAGCTCAGCTGCTTGTGGTGCTGCAGCCAGAAACACGTGCTTTCATGTAAAATAGGAAGTGATTCAACAGCACATGGCTGCCAGACAGGGAGAGTGTTCCCACCTCCCTGCTCCTAAACATTGGCTCCCACTGTGCAGCTTTTGGAGCTTGTCAAGAGCCCTCTGTGGTTCACTCTGACTTTCTAATGCAATAGAAAACTAACAGAGCAAAAAAAGTCGGATGGTTTTTCTGCTCCATCAGTGAGTTTAAGAGGCTCATAGAATGGTCTGACACTTATTGGAGTTGGTGCAAGGTAAACAGGTAGGAGTAGGAAGGCGAAGAGAGAAGAATGTATGGGAACAATGTGAAGGGAGGAACCAGGGAGGGAGGAGTGGGCAAGCTCTTAGACATAAGATCGTTCAGCTGCCTGTAACCCTGTATTCCAAATCTTTATTGCTAGGTCTCTCTTGTTATGTTCTCTGTTAGGTAGAAGCAGGTCAGTTTTAGAATAGAATAGTTCAGCTGTAAGGGACCCTCAGTAACCATCCAGCTGCCTGACCACTTCAGGGCTGACCAAAAGTTAAAGCACGTTATTAAAGGCATTGTCTAAATGCCTCTTTACTTGGCCTGGGGAGTCAACCATCTCCCTAGGAAACCTGTTCTAGTGTTTGATCACCCTCTCAGTAAAGATATGCTTCCTAATGTCCAGTCTGAATCTCCCAGGCACGACTTTGAGCCATTCCTATGTGTCTTGTCTCTTGATGCCAAGGAGGAGAGATCAGCACCATTCCCTTTACTTCCCCTCCTCAGGAGGCTGTAGAGAGCAATGAGAGTGCCCCTAAGCAGTAGCATGGCAGTCTGTAGTTAGCACAGTTGTGTAAGTTAGTATGCTTGTGTAAGAATCCAAGCAAGGAAGTGCTCTTTGTTGATTAAAATCAAGTAAACATTCAGGCAGTTTTTTTAATGTTCTTATGATTTGGTGGGGATATGACATGATGGAGAATTAATCTTTGGAAAGTGAGCTTGAAGTAAAACCATCAAACACATGATTTTCTCTCTTCACAGCTTCAGTGTACAGCTGAATTAATGAACTACACGTGGTCATATATCCAATAATACATACATATGGTATCTTATACTCTTGGTAAAACATTATATTTACATTATCTCATTATTAACAACATTACCATGGTGACCTAGTACATCATTATCCTTGACCTTAGAATCGTCTTAGTGACAACAGAGCCTAACTGCAGTAATGTGTTACTGAAGGAGATTCAATGACACAATATTCTTGCTGGCTTGTCTGCACACACTTCAAATTAAGACATCTGTTTTATTATTTTGTTAAGAAAAGCACGTGCCCTTATGTTGGACAAATAAAAGCCACGCCTAGATATACCACTGGTTGTACAGTTTCATGGTTAACAAAGATTTAACTCGGCACACGGTAGAATAGTATGTTTACTGTAATCTGAAGCTGAAAATATAGTTTATCCATATATATCCATTAATATCTATCTATCTATGCATATATCTATATATCGGAGTGTACAAATTTCTCTATAAAATACTAGTCTTTATTCACACTGGCTCCAAAGGGGTCATGTTGTCCTGTCATCTTTAATTAGATCAACAGGGTGATTGATTCAGTGGGCTACAATTCACAACCATAAACAGCAAGAAAGTTTCAGGATTGTATGGCCTAGGTGGAGGGAAGTATGAGACTAGCACCTGTAGCCACCGTGCAGGCTTAGATCTGCTTAAGTCAGTCAGGAAATGACACCTGCACAAACCTGCTTTCTGTTTGTGACACTTCAAAGCTTCTGTGTAAATGTAGTCAAGCTATTTAGACTGTTTAATCTTAACCCCTGAAGGTACTTTGTTAGTTTAAAATTTAAAAAATCGAAAAATACTCAATCTAAACCAATTTTTAGGAATGTAAATTGCATGATTGATTGTACCAATCTCAAAACTAGCAATTAGTGTTGTAATAGAGCTAGATAATAATAAAAAATTTAATTTAGTCCTAGTGGGATATCAATTTCTGAAGCGTCTTGGTAGAAATATATGGAGCCATTCATTGCAAAAGAAATGTTTTTAAGCAATAACTGTTTAAAACCAGGGCATTTCATGAAAATTAATTACTTCCTGGAGGTCGAGGACATTCCCTGCATTTGCTTTGGTCTGTGAATGCAAACCAGTATTTAATTCCCCACAAATGCCCAGAATCAAAGTGGCTATTGCTGCAGTACCCTTTGAAATATACAAGCATAGAAAAAATAAATAAGCTTTAAAAAGGAAAAGGGAGAGAATACAGACTTCATGAAATACCAGACTAACAGGTAATATAAAGCTTGCACCTGAACCAATCAAACAGGAATTTTTGAGACAATTCAGTTATTACATTATACTCTCATGTTTTAATTCTTTCCACATAAAAATTTTAAAGTTTTTTTAAAATCTGTTCAATGTACTAAACCATTTTTACAACAGTTGAAAATAACAATCTAAGCAATTTAGCATTCTTAAGAAGTCCATTGATTTTATAAAAACTGGCCAGTCAGTGCAATTACAATCAGATTGCCAGTAATGTTCTTATTATATTTCAGTTATTTGAAATGTGGAATACAGCAAATTTCCTATTAAAAATGAATTATTGTTCAAGGAAGTTCAAGACAGAAATATGCTGCCATATCTGTATTGCTGTAAAATTTATATTCAGAACTAGAGGAAACTAAGTAACATGACTGTACTTAAAAATCTTAGTAGAAAAATACACTCACCCACAGATTAATATCTTAGGGCATTATTGGCAATCCAGTACAGGTATATTGGATTTGTAATGCACTCATTAGGACCATGATAATTGCAGGAAAATTACTTTGAATCTGAAACCATTCTTTGTTTGTAGGATTGCAGGTTATGTGCAATTTATTAAAGTGTTCCTCTTGTCTTCTGGCATGGCTTTTAGCTGTTGTATGCACCTGTTCTGAAAGGCTGATTCTGTTTGGCCTTTGAAAATTAAGTACAAGTAGCTGTGTACCAAATCCATTTGCAGAAAGCAGTTCTTTCTAGGATGTTTTGAACAAGATTCCAACTAACATTGGCAAAAACTTCCTCACAATAGGTTGGTCAAATGCTCAAACAGGTGCCCAAGAGAGGAACTCTTAAAGGACACGCTTAAAATGCCATTCAACAGGGCCTTGAGCAACCTGACCTGACTTTGAAGTTGGCCCATCTTCAAGCAGGGGATTGGACCAAATGACTTCCAGAAGTCCTTGCCAACCCAAATCGCTAATGGAATACATTAGCTTTCTATTTGTCCTACCTGAAGAAGTGACCCCTTGACCAGTATATAAACTGTATGGGTGTGTTGTGTTGCTGACATTTTCGCATAGTGCCCTTTTTTGATTCAGTTCATCTGGTGCATCTGGGACACTGGACTGTCTTTCAGTGTTTCTGCATCACACTTAAATAAAAGCAGCACAGCAAATTGCTGTACAAATGTAAATTAGTTTGACTTCAAATTCTTCTGAGTTTTTCTTTCCCAGGAGGGAAAGCTTGATGTCAAAAGATTTAATTGTTCCAGTTTGTAGATGGGTTTGTTGTTATGGCTCTGATTAGAACTTAAAATTCTTGTTCTTGTCATTATACTAAATTAGTTTATCTGTAATCCCAGGTTGGTTTTGGGATAAATTGGTTTATATTTACTGCAGTCTAAGTTTGCTAGTAGGAAAGAAATTTTATCATTTGTTTATTTCCACTGAAGTCCTGGAAACCAGGCATTTGTAACTGAGGTCATAGGATGGCACTTAGAAAAATATATAGAAAGAGACATGTATGGGAATCGTAATATGAACATTGTCCATGTGATACTGTCAAAGAGACTGTGAGGGCAATCTATTACTGATAAATAGCTCTTCAGTATTAAAAAGGGTAAGTTTCTGCTGTCATTGTCTAGTGAGTAAGAAGAGGAAACTTCCCAGCTTTAAGACCTTCTCCAGCCCTGCCTTTATCTTGCAGTTTGACCATGTGCATCTTCGTCAGATGTGAAAAATTATATTAATACTACATTTCTTCCTCATATACAAACTAATTGAGTATTCCCATAGTGTATTTATCACGTATGGGTTCTCGGTTTGACTATTTGGACTTACAAACTTCTGTTCCCTTTTCAAACTGTCATCAGTGAGTATCAAAATCATGCAGCCCTTCACAACTACACCCTGGAAGCGTGGTGGAGGGACAAGGTGGTGTTTCTGGAGGATGTATCGCTGGATAGAATGGTTCATACAACAAAGAGTCTGAATGAGCTTGTAAACATCACGGTCAGTTTGCTGCAGGGGAGGTTGAGGCTGGCCATTCATGGTCGGGTCTGTGCTCACCATTTAAGAAATGAAAGTATTGTTTCTTCCAATAACCTGTAAATACAGATGTGGTGTAGTTCTCTTACAGTAAAGGTGTCTGCTGCTTTTCATACTCACATAAATTCAGAGCACTTCTGGAAAACAAGAACTGCAGAAAAAAAAAGACCTACCATTTGAAAAGAAAAAAAACCACCAAACAAATTACATACGAAGGGGATGAGCAAGATATTTTCCCTTTTGCATTTTTGATTTCTGTTAATAGCCATGTAGTCAGGCAGTGATTTGTATATCTGCTTGGTTGGGTGCCCAGGCTGGGTGAACGTTAAGCAGGAGGGTGAAGGGCATGGGTAGGTGTCCCCTGTCAGTAGGTCGCTAAAGAGGCCGTGGTACTGTGGTGCAAATGTCCAGTGTTCCGAGCCCAGTGTGTGGCAGAGCTGGGTTTGAGGCTCTGCCGCTGCTCCCTCCCGTGGCCACTGCTCGGAGCAGCCTGACTCCTGCTGCTGCCAGATCCAGCTGTCTGGGAACCCAGCGGAAGAAAAGCCCTTTTGCCAATACCTGGTGACTCCAAGCTCTGCCAAACACTTCAGAAAACTAGGTTAGTCTCAATAAATCTCTTGACTCCAGTTTTTGAGAGAAATATAGTGCTCATGTTTTCCTTTTCAAAATAAAATAGTATAGGTTTTCTTCCTATAGTTCAGGTTATTTTATTTTAAGCTTCAATAAAATGTAAACTTTGAAATATTAAAACCTAAGGGAAAAATGAGAGAGTGAACCAAAAATCTGGCATTTTTGACATACCAAAGCAAACCCTTTTTTTTTAATCTTTACCAAAAAAAATTTTTTTTGCCTTGATGAAATGGATGAAATTTTTAATAATACTTCTCCATGATATGGGGGAAAAAAATATTTCCTGAGTCTATGAGCTTACTCAATGCTGACTTGCATAGTAGCATTTTAACAACAGTAAAATAACAATCGTCTTTTAGATTTTGCATTTGAAAAGCTTATTCCCTAGCTATAAATAACAGAGTATGAAATTACAAAGTGAGCTTTTGGAAGCACTGAAGAGCCATATTTTTGGCCAGTTCAAATCAGTGTACCCTTGCAGTTTTTATGCCAACTGAGCACATGGTCAAACTTCCGCCTCATCATATTGACTTAATTTTTTAAGTCTTCATCTACATAATCAGTTTTCAGAATCTGAAATGTACATCAGTTTAGTGTATAATCTTCATTTTTCTAAATGCAAGAAACTACAAGACACCATCTTTAAAAAAGGAGTACTTTGAGTGCTTTGATGGAGGAAACAGACAAAGTGAAAAAACATTAATACATTATGTTGATATAGAATTAATAGTTATTTGCAGAAATAAATACTGATAAATACTTACTGAAAGGCCTGGTACCTCTAACTTCTTTTAAATTTTCTTATTATTTGAATCTCTTTAGAAAAAACATTCCTACTGCAAAAATTTGTGCTGTTTATACAGAAATAAAGTTGCAGAATGAATTCAGTAGTTTTGTATGTGCAGTATGCAAGTATTTCCCTTTGACCTTTAACTTCAGAGTAAAGTTAAATGTCTCTCATAATATGTTCATCAACATGCATACTTATTCCACATGAAAAGTTGATTATGTGAGGAGATTAAGTTGTCTATTTACCCTATTTTGGGACTGATATATGTGATTTTATGTAGGAGAGCCATTGACCCTAATGAGTGAATCTCCAGTGCATTCTGAAATAGCCAACATTTTGATCTGTTAGTCCAGGTTAGATTGATTCGCTATTTTAGGCCTGTACTTCCTAGTCTTGTGTTAAGTTTACTTCATTTTACTACTGCGTTATCTTGAACATCAAGTCTGGGTATGAAATAAGTTTAGCTGACTCTAAGAGGAGAATGGATTAAAAAAATGAAATAGTGTTCCTTAATAATAAATTGTGCCTACTGCTGTACTCTTCAAATGAGGCAACTTAGTTGTAAAAGTACAAATAGACGAAAAATAATGATTCTCTCATCCTTTACTGAATAGAGGTTTTTCTCTGCATTTCTTTGAAGGGAAGGGCATGCATGCATATGTGTGTGAGCTCTCAGCAAGATGATTGTGACTGATTCTGCCTTATGGCAAAGTTACAGAAATTAAGACGGTGACAGAGATCAGAGAGAGATGTGCAGCCTGAGACCAGGCTTTTTGAGTCATCAAAGAAGCTGTGTGAGCATGTACCTCCAGAATAAAAGCCATGGCAATCAGATGACGTTAGCTTCAATTGTCTCTAGAGTGAGACCCTCAGCTTCCTCCATTTAAGGACCAAAAGTGGTTTTAAATATTATGACTTTCACAACAAAAGTCAGTTTTCAAATTCCACATTCTGTTGCAGAACTGTTCACTTTCCTTGTCATTATTCCGGTCATGCATAGTTACAATAGCTTATCTTAAAATAACACTAATGTAAAGAACCCAGTGCGTTTCACAGTCATCATGCATGTGAGTGGATTAGAGGAATGAAGGATGGAGACAAGGTCAAAAAGGTAGATTTTTCTTCCTTTTGGGATCAATGAGGTTTTTAAATTTTACTTCATTAAAAATCTATTGCCTTCTTCCTAGTCTCTTGGAATAATCAGACTTTTATGTTGAGTTTGAACACTTCGAATGTAATTTTACTATCTGTGTGCAAAAGCAAAGTACAGAGAGGTGCTCTTTCAGGTGCAGCAAATTCCTTCCTTTTTACTTGTGAGTGCTGGATGTAGACCGGAGTCATATGCTAATCCATGGATCTATTACTTTAGGGAGGGAAGTGTCTGTGAATTCAGGGCATTTCCAGTCACTTTAAAGCCTCAAGATGGAGCACTCATCAGAAGATGGTGCCCATGCACCGTATACTTTATATCTTATGAAAGGGGTTGGAAATTATACATGGCACTTCTAAGTAGCTTTTTTCTGCTCTTTGCAATCTTGCTGTTTCACTCCTAATCCCAGTAACTGATGGAAAATATTTCCACATTTGAAGGTCAGGACAGAATTTAGCCTTTACTTTCAAGGAAGTGAGGTGCTGAGAGTTGTGTGAGCTGAAGGTGAAGGACTTTTATTGTTTGCTTTTTTCTTACTTGACATTTATTAATGCTGGTTCTCTTTTAGAAAGCAGGTGATGAAGTGGACGTAATACTGTTGGGCAACAAGTGTGATAAGGAGTCAGAACGTGTAGTTCCAAAACAGAAAGGAGAAAAGGTATCATTGATACTTTCTTTGGGCTCTCCCGAGTATCTTAGTATGTCACTGTGAGCTGTTAAACTGGAAATGGTGAAAAGCTCCTGAATCCCAACAATTCTACTAGGGATTGCTCCAGAAGAACACTTGAGGAGTCCTGGAGTGTTGGGGGCTTTTTTAACATACGAGTAGAAACACATTAAGTAATTCCTAGATGGTCTCTTTAGAATACACTTTTAAAGGTTCAAATGCACTTTAAAAGTTTTGGGTGCTACAATAGAAATCTTTAATATAGAGTCTGCATTTTCAGAATACTGTTATAATATGGAATATTAAAATGTAATACATTCTGCATAATTTTTCTGGTACCACCCATCAATAATCTTTTTGCTACAGTCTGACTATAAGGAACTATTCTGACAGCCTATGCAAAGTAATCTGCATTCTCTATGAATAACCCTAAATAAGACTGGACAGGTACTGAACATCCAGCTCCTCTAGACCTAACTGTGTGCATGTGGTACGGCTGAGACTACAGTATAGTTTATACCTGCTGACCATGGTTAGGGGAAGAAATGTTATTAAGTGGGGAGTGCTGTTTTAAAGGCAGTGGCAAATTATTCTGACTGAGAACCAGTGAGGAAATTCAGAAACCATGCTATGACAGAAGAAATTTTGATAATAACTAAATATTGCAGGAGAGCATGGCCTATATACCAGTTAATTTTGCTACTGCATACTGTATGCATCTGTTGTCTGGAACTTGGAATTAGCCCTCCTATTATGCTTTCAGGCATGGTGAGTCAGGCAGGATGTTCAAAGAAAAACACACTGATGATATCTTGCCAATTATATAACCCCAGATTAGGGAACTTTAAAAAAATAACATCACCTTTTTGACAGCATTACAATCTTGCAAGTTCATTGTTTGTATGGAAGGTGCTTTCAATGTTAATGTACCATAACTGTTTACAAGGAATAAGGTTGCTGAAGAACACATATGTACTCTCACACAAAGAATGTACTGTCAGAAATCTAAAGAGTCACTGGATGCATGTGCACAAGAGGGCAGTAGTAGGGTTTTGCATATGGTATTAAGCATGACATTTTGTGACTTCTGTATTCTTAACCACACAATCAAAATTTCTCTTAATGTAGTAATTTTTTCAGAAACAAATCATTACCTCCTCCCCAGTGAGTCTACTTGCTAGATTTCCCCTGTGTTTTTAGGCAAGGCAACTCTTCAGTTATACTATTTCTTCTTTTAGTATGATTTACAAGTGCTAAAGCATCTGACTGAACATGCTGGAGAAATATTCCATTAGCACAGAGAGAGCTAGTAATTTTCCTCTCACTCCAAAGAAGAAAATATCCTTATTAAGAGGGGAAAACAGTTTGATACTAAGATTGACACATAATAATTCATACTTAGGTATTTCATATTACCGTGAAAGTATGAGCTGTAAGTATTGTTCTGCCTCAGTCTCTTGCAGAGAAGACCCTAGGTTCCCTGGGAATCTTATCATCTATGTTGGCATTTTTGTAAAAATCTGTTATAACTCAGTGGCCATCGTATATCACTTCCTAGACTAATTTAATGCTGAGAATTTTTTAGTTACTTTCTTTTGTAATTATGTAATTTCAATCACTCAGAAATTGATATATTTAATTTCAACATTATGAAGTATAATTTTCATGTATTAATTGTTTCTTATTCACTTTGACAAAAGTTTTAACTCAAGGTTCTTGGGCTCCTCTGTTCACCTCCCCCAAATATAATTTTCTTTTTCACTGAAAAATAAAAATGTTGAAGGTTATATGACTTGGTAGAATGTGGCAGGTTTTTTCCTATCAAATCTTTCTAACAGAAAAAGCCAAGTAAAATTTTCTACCCTTTTTTTTTTTTGCTTTTTCTGTCTTCATAGCTGAAGCTGATTTATAACTTTGAAGCTGATTTTACATGTACAATACAAATTTAAAAAAAATATTCTGCCCAGCTCTAGGAATATTTCAGCCACATCTCTCTGATTCAACACTAAGGAATCATAGCAGCCCTTTGCTGGGAAGTAGTATATTTTGAGTTAAAGGAACAATTGGAATTAAATTTCATCTTGGAAGCGGTATTAGCATTACTTATTTTGTTACTGTAACACTGGATCTCCAAACTGTTCTCAAGGATATTATAAAATAAAATTGCCCAGTAGTATAATTCCATTGGGTTTGTAAATGTATTTAGATATTTTATTTATGGATCTACTCAAGATACTCCTAAAGGAGAAAAAAATAGTTCTTTGAATGTGCCTTTCCAGTTTCTTTATGAGAGGGAGTACCCAGATCTGTGTTCATGTTTCCAACTGCTTTAACACTGGACTGGTAGGGTTTTTTCCATCTAGTTACATTTTTAGAAGACTTGCTTGCCACAGAACTTACCGCTATGCAAGGTGAATTGAAATTATGCATACATTAATCTTCTTTGACCAATATTGTGCACATATAGAGAAAAATGCAGCTGCATTGATAGATGTAGTAGACAATGTAGTAATATGATACAGAGAAGGCCGAAGTTTTTTGCTTTGATTTTATTTTATTTTTCTTTTGCATGGCTCTTCAGAGATAGAGCTTGCAGGTGTATTTGTGGTCTGTTTGTCTTAGGCCTCTGCAGGTACTGGCATGGTTTGGAAAGGAGCAAGTCAGCCAGCAGTGGGAAAGCTTTGGATTAGAAACTGCTTAGGAAAGTTGGATGCATCCATAGACATGATGAAGTTCATCCAGTTGTGCCAAAAGAGCTGTCAGTCAACTCTGAAAAAACGTGGTGGTTGGAAGAGATCCCTTTTGACTAGAAAGATGCTGGCATGACACGAATCTTTTAAAAAAGGCAAGGAAGGGACTTCAGGGAGCTATAGGCAGTCAGCCTTGTTTCAGTCATGTCGTTCAACATCTTCATCAGTGATCTTGCTGATGATAGATGGAGATTTGCATGTAGCATGAGGTTAAGGGGTGTGATTGGCAGACCAAATGGGAGAACAGCAATTCTTCAGGACCTTGATAAAATTCAGAACTGGGCCAACAGAAACATCATTGAATTCATGAAGTGCAAAGATTTGCACCTGTGATGGAGTAATCCCAGGCATGATTTACTGCTGCAAAGGACTCAAGTTTCTCTGAACACTAGCTTGAATATAAGTCAGCAGTGTTCCCTTATGGCTTAAAAGCATGATGGGTGACATTAGAAGGATAGTGGATAGTAGATCTGGGGGGATTATTACCCCCCTAATTAGTGCTGGCAAGGCTACATGGAATATTGTGCCCAGCTTTGGCTCTCCCATCTCAAGAAGGGTGTTGAGAAACTGCAGATGGTACAGCATACAGGTACAAAGGTGATTGGGGCCCAGTAGGAATAATCCATGAGGAGAACTGGGGGAGGTGGGTAAAGAGAAGGCTAAGGACCAGGTACTGGTCTACAGCAATTGAAGTGTAGCTAGAGAAATGACAGAAAAGACTCTTCTCAGCAGAGACAGACAATAAAGCAAGGGGCAGCAGGCACCTGGCTTGGGAGGTTCAGGCTGGAGATGAGGAGAACCAGTTGCGCTAAAAGAGTGATGTAGCTATGGAAGAGGGTCCCATAAAGGTTATAGAATGTCCATCGTTGGTGCATTTCAAGACATGGGTAGGCAAAGCCATGGCTGACCCCATTTCAAGTGGGGTTACCTTTCAAAATGGCTTCTGTGATTCCATGACTAAAATGTAGGGGATTTTTGTTCATCAGAGTTTGTACATAGGTAACCCTCTAGAAATCTGGTACGTGATACAAGGAAAAGGGAGTATTTAATTAGTTTCTGTGTACTTTAGAAACTGCTAAGCAGTTTACTTTAGTAGCCCAGTATTTTTTATTGCTTGTATTTTTCTTTATGAACCATTATACATCATTTTGTATTGACACTCATGAATAGCTAAATGATCTTAATTTTCTGTAACAAGTTGCTGCAGTACTGAAAATAGTTCACAGCAGTAAGCTAGAATTCCTTCAGATTCAGAATCCCTTATGAAGCAGTCTGTCTAAAGAAACAGTCTAGATCTCATCTTTATTTTCAGAATTACATTTTCTTGTAGCACTTTGGAAAGGAAACCAATTGCCTCACTTTTTTTTCCTACCTTTAATATAATCTTGGTTATATTTTGACTAAAACTTATGAAGTCTGATTCTTTTATCTGTATCTTCATGCCTGATTTTGGAATTTTTGTGAAGCACTGATTTGTTATTTCTGGAGCTCATTGAAAGCAAACAGAACTGCCAACATTAGACTTTTTATCCTAATGGAGACCCTTCCAAATAAATCATTAACTATTCAGTAATAACAGGATTTTCTATACATTATAAGCAGTAGGGTATTTTCTTTGCCTGATATCATCTTCTCCAGATGTGTACCAAGAAGGGATCAATTGCAGTGGGAATAAATAGACTCTTCCACTATGTTTGGCATATTTATTCCCACTTTGGCCCCCTCTCTTGGGAGGCAATGATGCAACTGTGTTTTCTTTTTGTCCATGTATTTAACTGTATAAATTGGGAAAAGTTTAGGACTCTAAAAAACTATTATTTTTGTTGTGTTGGGTTTCTTTCTTCATGCCAACATAGCTCTAAGCTATCAATAAGGGAAATACACTGGAAATGAGAGAACACAAGTAAATTAAATAGAACCAACCAATATAAAGTCTATACTGCCCTTATAAGTATTTTCTCTTTGCCTATTACCATAATATGTTTTTTGCACATGTATCTTTTTTTTGCTTGCCTGTTATTTCTGTGCTTCTTTATGTCTGGCATAAAGGAACATCTCTTTCATATTTCATCATGTCTCTTTTCCTACAGTTTTTGTCACATTTTTATCTATACCTTTCTGCGGGCACTCCATTAGTTTCCTCTAAATAATTGCCTAGGAGATAGTTTGTTTTCCAAATGTATCAAAACATTGAGAACAGACCCACTGAAGTTTATTGTTGTTATTTACAAGTAGCGATAGGTTAAAAAAGCTGTTTTGAAAATGGAAAAATATTTAAGAAGAATGAAACATTCTGAGGATGAAAATAGAATACTTTACTGAGCTAACATGTAAATTAATCAGTGTTTATATAGCATGTTAGAAGCAGTCAGAACACCTCCATTTCTCGATACTAGTATTAGGAAGTGGTTTTTTTCCTGAAGACTGTTCATCTCATTGCCTACCTTTGTTTTTCAGATTGCTTGGGAATATGGAATACCATTTTTTGAAACCAGTGCTAAAGATGATGTGAACATTGAGCATGCATTCTCAATCTTGACTAAGGAAATACTGGAAAAGGTAGGCTTCTTTTCTAAGTAGAAAGAATGGGAGATTTTTCTTGACAGATTGGGTAAACAAGGTTGTAAATACAGAACAGGTTTGGCAAAGCACAGCTAGTGCTTTTTTTTTTTGTATTATGGAGTTAATATTTCGAAGGGATCCTGTAGTTGCAGGTATACAGAGGAGGGATGTGGGGGAAAAGAATTGTGGGAGAAGAGAAAAACAGTAGAGGGGAGCAGGTAAAATACAGTTCAGAGAGAAAGTGACAATTCAGGACAACTGCTTTTGTGTTTTTCTTTCCCGTGCTTTTCTGTAAGGGAGTGGTTAACAGCTCTAGAGTAGTTCCACTTCTGTGCCAGGATGATTCCCATTTCCTCTAAGTTTCTGCAGAATGTGCTCAGAGCGAAGATGCTGTATGCTGATGTAATCAGTGGACCTTTTGTGTTCAGCAGTCAAATGTTTTATACAAGGTTCATAGCTGTTTGTTTGGCTGATTTACACTAGTGCTTTTGAAGTTATCATGACCTAAAGATTTGAGTTAATTAGTAGTGGAATCAATATTGTAGCTGTCAGAGTCAGCATCTCTAACTAACTCAAGTGTGTTGGCTTAAAAGTCCTTATTCCTTGGAGTTGCAATACTTTTGTAGGACTGAATTATTGTTCATTAGCTCTGAAAATGTTTTGCATTGTAATTTATTTTTAGACAGTAGAATATTATTTTAGACATTAATAGATGTTCTTCATGCAATGCATTATCATCGCCATTCATCACCAATATTAGTTATACAAAACTAACCTTCCATTCTGAATGCTGTTGAAGTCATAATAAAGATAAATGAGCAAAATTACTGACAAAGTCACAAGTTGCAGTGTTTTGATTAAGTAGCCATAGGGGATGGTCAGAATAATAGCTCTGGGTTGGACTGCTTCTAAGTTGAGGTCCTGTTGTATTATATAACACAAGCTGTAGTTGGTTATTTTGGGGGAGAAAAAAGAAGAAAAAAAAATCTTTTGATTACTTTAGCATGAAAATGAAGCACAGCAACTTGATGGTCAAATATTGTTTAGAACAGAATGATAGTGGCAGGTCCTTGAATAGTTGGACAAAAAGTCTCAAGATAACTCTGATTTTGCTGTAAATAAAAAGACATTGACTGCTGTAAATGGAGAATATATTAATATGTTAGTATGAAGCTTGAAAATACAAAACAATAGCTATGATCATAACTACTGCAAAGACAAATATGTGCAAAGTGAGCATTTCTGCACGGTGCATTTGGGTAAGATCTAAGAATTCTCTCAGTGTGCAGAAATGGTGCTTGGTTATTTCTCACATTAAGATTGCCTGCACTTACTTTAGTGTAAGTGGAACTTCAGTATTCCTACTCATCTTCATGAAAATTCATGGGGTTTTTAGTGTGGACATGGCAAAGAAATTCAGACCACATTGAAAATGTTATACCGCTGCATGGTTTTAATTAGAACTGCTTTGAACAGTTGTGTGCTCTGCTTGCATGTATGTGTGTTTGGGAAATATGCCCATGAGAATTTGTCGAGTTTGTCTGTAGTAACAGTTCACCTTAGCTAGAAATGTTTGGAATCCTGATGGGGCATCACATACCATTACTTTGGTGTATAATTTGCCATTTTTAGTGAAATGGATTTGTTGATTTAAACAAGGACTCCTTTAGCCCAATTGGTTTTTCCATGGCCTGATAAGAGAGTTCGCAGTAAAAAAAAAAAAAAAAAAAATCTACCATAGAGTTTCATCATGGTTTTCAGGTTCGACAAAATAATTTGCCTGTTCACAAAACTGTGAAATCTGAATGTAGTACTTGAATTTTAACTTCCTCTAACTGATGAAATTTTGGAGAAGGGAAAATGCAGTAGGAAGTGTGACTAGCAGCTGTGAAAAATGACATGATAGATGCCAGTCTGAGATCATTTTAGTCATATATCCATTCTGTAGTGGTGAAATATGTACTTGCTGATTGCAAAAAGGAGATACAGCTTTGCATAGTGTTTTGGCCCAAGACACCTATGTCCGATGGTATCAGGCTTCCCATGCTTCTGCAATAGGACCACCTCTCCCAGACTGATGAGATGCTTCAGTGGAAGCATGTCATTGCTTTACCGGAAACTCATTTTAAGGAACTTTCTAGAAAAGTCTATTATGGCCATGCTTTTGGGAAGTATGTGAAGGTCGTTCAGAGGTAAGATAAATGGGCAGGGCAGGCTGACAGGCAGCAGACCCATTTTCAGATACATTGCAGTAGATTGTATTAATCTGAGGAAATCTAGGATTTTTTATATACACTCTTGCTTACCATTTACTACAGGCATTTCTTTATTAACCAAATGTACAGAAAACATCTCTGTAGATGGTGAAGATCAATGTCCAGAGTTACAGAGCTTATACAGAAATACTAAATGTCTTGATTCTTTTGAAATTTAGAACAAGCTGTTGTTCAGTGGAGGACTGGGGGGAAAAAAACCATTAAAATGTGTCAGACACTTAAACAAAACAAAACAAAAGGCACGTTTGTATTGTCCCTATTTTGTGCTGCACTTTCCTATCTCTTAATTTGTAGTTTTTCTTGTAGTGAGTTTAAGGGAGAGAGAAGACTTCTGTATTCCAGCAATTCAGATAACTAAGGTACTGCTTGATGTTTCAGATACCATCTCAGCCATTCTATGCTTAGGCTCAATCCTACAGCTCTAATTTACATGGGTAGTCTCACTAAAACCATGAGATGTTATTTGACAGTTTACATTGGTAACAGCTAAGGAGTCATGCCATATTTCTGAGAACTCACAATTTTCAAACCAATCAGTTAATAATAACTGAATGCAATGCTTTAATTTTAACTTCCTCTGACTGATGAATTTTTGGAGAAGGGCAATAATAGCTGATTTGATTGTATTTGAAAGACTGCAGTGGAAATAGATGTTAATGACAGATTATTCCAGAATATTGCTTAGACATGTTGACAAATAACAACAGTATTTTATTTATTCACAATTCTTATAAGTCTCAGATACGCCTAAACCTGTTCAGTAATAGATGACAGCTGTTCTTTGACAATGCTTCTGGTTGCCCGTGAACTATTTGTACTTGCGAGTCAGTCCTCAAGAAACAACCAAAACCAAACAAATACCTCCCAGAATGCAGTTAGCATTTGCATTTTTGTGTTGTTTGGTGTCATGGCTGACAAGCAGTACTTTTCTCAACTAGCTTTAAAAAAAATATTACAAACCTTTGTATTTATGTCTTTGTGTGAGTGGTTGTTGGTATTTTTCTAAAATAGGAGCAAGGAGGGAACTGTATTAAAAAGAAAAAAAAGGAAAAAAAGAATGAAGTTTTCACCTTTTTCTGAAAACTGCCATAAAACTTAACCAAAACTTAAGTTCTGCCTATCTCCCAAACTGACTACTAAGATTATTTTGATCATATTAAATAAACATATATCTGCTGAGTAGAGAACAGTGAAAATCCATTCAAGACCTTGCCCTGTGCTGTTGAGAGCAACATTTAATGTTTAACAGCTGGATGTCATTTGAGATGAACATTCTGAAATAGCAGGCCTCAATTCTGCCCTTCCTTTGTTTCTTTACCTTTCTTTCCTATGGCAACAGATTTTTGAAATTACACTGTGTCCCGTGCCTTTGCTCCTAAAGTACCTTTGTAACTTGTTAGCTGATTTTAAACAAATTTGACAGGTCAAACTAAAAGATAATTAAGCTCCTGAGGCATTCTTGAAAATAAGGTGAGAGGGAGAGTACTCTGCAAAAGGAAAGTCTCCAACATGAGGTCATACAGTGTTGGACAGAGACCACTCTATAGAGAAACTGAAAAATGCTTCAACCAGCCATTCCAGCTGGAACTTGCATCATAGATATCAAATTTAATTCACATCAAGACCCAAATCCATAGGAAATCGGATTTCATTATTGCTGAGGTTCATGGAATTGTTAGTTTGTCTAAAAGATCCCTGTGTCTCCAGCAGTGCATATTCAATGTTTCTTTATTATCCTCAGTCATGCATGGAGCCCCAGGCTTTGTTTGCCCTTTATTTATCTTATACTGACCACAGAATATTAATTCCTTCAAGAGGGTTTTCATAATGCTTGTAATGCTGTACTTTAGATCTATTTTAGATTTTTATCTCCATAACCTTAGTAACATTAGGTAGTATATTCAGCATTACACACTTGGGTACCAAGGTACAGAGATTAAAGCAAAGAGGATAAATGGTACCAACTCACTTAGTGTTGGTGCAATGTAAGGCATAATTTAACTACTCTATCTTATTTAATTAAAAAAAAGTCTGTTCTGGACATTGAATGAGCTAGATATTCTTCTGGAAACAGTAGCATATAATTAGGTTATGTAAATCAAAACTTAATCACAATGTCTGAGTGTAGGGGATGAGATTCATCTTGATGTGCAACCTTAACCAGCTAAAATTTGCATGACTGGTCTGATTGTCTGGAATCATCTCTATACAATGGAAAGAGATGAGTCTTTTTAGAATAAAATTTTGTTCTGGAAGTGCCTTTCTTTTTCCCTTGATTATAGGGAGTTCCATATCTCAGCCTATATGGTTTCATATGATTCAAATTACATAAATTGAACTCCAGGAGACCAAAAGAATGTTACAGACTTGACTCGCTTCTGGCAGTTACTGCTTATGCAGGATCTTGGTTTTGAAGATGTATTGCTCTCTTAAATAGGTTTGTTGATGTGCAACTATACTAAACCTTACCTAGATGACTTGTAGGGTTGAGGAACCTTACAGGAGGACCACGGCTGTCTTCTCAAGTTTGTGAAATAACTAATTGCAGTATAACATTGTTACAGTCTACCTGGTATTAACAGAAGAGGGAGATAGAGCCCCACACTTTGCCAGTGGGTTAGATGTTTTAGACATGGTGGAATAGCAGGTTTTGGGAGCAAGGCCTTCATCAACATTTCTTGAGGAACGTATTCAGCAGCAGTTAGATCCTGCTCCTGTCCCTATTCCCACAGAGATTGCCTTCCCTGTTAATATATCCCTAGCTCTTGCTTAATACTGCTTGTGCCATGTCCTGCCCATTGCTGTTGTGAGAAGACTGCCTTGCGTTTTGAACAAGTAATTTGACTTACAGAATATAGGGAATGCACAGAAAGTGTCAGGACTGTTCATAACTGAGCTTCTTCTACTGGCAGTTCAGGAACAAGAGTGACATGGACTTGGTTGCATCAAGTTCTCTGCCATGGTTTGTCAGTCTTTGTCAACTATCATTTTTAAATATAAACAAAATGATTGCAGTGATTAAGGAGGATCATTCTGTCATTAGAATAAAAATCCTCAAAATTTAAAGAATGTATAAATAATAGGAACCTCAGCTACAGTCCCCCCTTCTTGTTTCTCCAAAGCTGCTAGTTTTTCAGCAAGCACTCCAAGCCTGACTTCGACTGGGGACTTGATAGAGTAAAATCCTGTCATTCTTCTGAACCCACAGTGACCCTCACCTCTGAAATAACTAAACCAGTATCAAAATACCAAGAACTGGTGCTTGAGTAGGTGAATCATCTGACTTTGTATGGCACAGTTGATCTGAGCAGTTTTTGCAGCAAGGAATGCTCAGCTGATCTTAATGAAGATTTATGGATTTACTCCATTAGAAGCCTTTCAAAGAGTTTATCTTTTTTTGTTACATTTCCCTTTGTATGCCACCTTAGCTTTCTTTCCTTGATTTAAAAAAAAATTGGAATCTTAGCATCTCATCACAATTCCTGTGTCTAGGTATCTGTTGTACGCCAATGATACAAACTCTGCTTAGAGCTGGAGAGGAGAGACAGCCTGGAGGGGAGACAGCAGGAAGCATAAAACTGGCTTGAACAGATGCCTCTTTGTTGGGTGAGACATGTCTGGTGTGCTATTTAACAGGAAAAACTAGTATTTGATAGCAGGAAGTTTCGACATCTTACTAAAATCACTGCAGGGTAGAGTGGCATCTCTGTCTGTGGAGGTATTTTCAAAACCCCAGTTTGCTCAAGATGCCAAAGTGGAAACTCAAGCTTCTTGGTACCATTGTGGTTCTTCTCATCTTTTCACATCTCTTTTGCTGTTTATTGGCTGACTTGTCAGGCAGTGAGTTACAACAGGGTGAGCTGAAATGTGAGCTGGAAGTGTTAGTGTTCATGGAGCCCTGGAGGAAGAATGCTGCCTGCCTTGTTCCCAGAGGTGGGAGAGATTTGCATAACTCCCTGCTGTAATTTCAGGAGAGGGGGTGCCCCACCTCCTCCAAGGCTTGGCTGAAGTTGAGCACTACCTGGGATTGCCCAAATCTGATTGTTGCTTCAGCGCTTCATGCAGGACTCCTCATATCTCTTTAGATTATGAATGTGGACTGTTAAAATCTGTACAGCACATTTGCTTAAATGAATCCCAGGCCCTCATTTGCTTCACAAAGATCCTGTATGGAACAATCTTACCAGTTTTACCTCAACTTTTACATTTTAAAATTTTAAAACTGATTTCAAAATGGCTCTTCTTTATTTGTAGAGTGCTGGTTCTTGTCTTTCTGTGCTGGCTAGTCTGTTGATAAACTATCAGATAATGATCTTACAGATTATAAGAACCATTGCATTATCGTTATGCTTCACGATTCTTAATTACTTACAGTACTGAGGATCTGTGCTAAGGATACATGAACAGCTTACTTGCCACCCAGAAGTACTATTAAGTAGTAAAATATTTGCAAATAAGCATCTTCAATGTTTAAGGAACATGAAAGTTCCTCCCTTTTCACTGAAAGCATGAAGTTTGATCCTGAAGTATAGCCTGCAACATCTTGAATTACCTGTTTCCTCTGAAGTTAAGTAAGTGAAATCTGAATTCTGAAACTGTTCAAACAGGGATTTTTCTAGAACTCTTTTACTACTTAAACTGATTTTATTTTCTCAGGAAAAAGCATGGGTGAGACAAAACATTTTTAGTTTATGTCCACAATAATCAATGCTTATTTTATTTCTTGGTCTCAAATGAGTGAATTTAAACTTCTTACTGTACCATTTTCTTCCAAAGTTTTCCCTTCAGAATCTTATCTGTAAACTAGCATGGTATCTGGTTCCTTGAGATTGCAAGGTTATGTTTGTGTACTTTGGATTCTGCCTTGCTCCCTCTTTCAAAAAGGTCTTCATACTTTATATTTACTATCTATGCTTGCAGACTATCAAATACTGTCTCTGCCTAATGTTAATACAAATGTTAATAGCTAATGCCTTTACTCGAGTACCTTACGCAACTGTGTAAAAAGTTAAAACTTATCAGAAGTTATAAATCAGTGTGTTGGTATTTGTGTGAATTCTCAAGGGTAATAAAAATGTTATGTCTCTTGGTCCTTATCACTCAAAAAATAAAAATAATTTTTAAAACCCAAACAAAAAAAACAAGTAAAAGTGCACATGCTGTGTTTCTTCATTATGTGACTAATGACAAGAAATTCCTAAAATCAGTAAGTCACAGTACCCTACAGTCAGAAAAATATTTGCTAATAATTTTACTGATGACAACTTCGACATCCATCCTGAGGTGTAGACACTGCAATACTAGTTTAGACACTGCACTGGGTCTCTGCAGCCCCAGGGAGGACCAAGCTCAATCGCTCTCTTTGTGGGGACGGCCCTGGCACAGGGCAGCCAGCACTCTGGAAGAGCTGAAACTATGGCTACAGAAGGAAAAAGGAAACAAATTTCATGCGTCCACTCCAGAATTTTAGGCAGCAATAAATATACTCAGCCAAAGAGGCATCAGGCTTATTTGTAGCATAGGGGAACTTTTTATTTTGCCCTCATTCTGATTCACCTGAGTAATTTTAGATGAACCCTTCTGGATGTAGTCAATGTTCAACTACCCTGTGACATTGTATGTGTAAGTTTTCAATTCTGAATCGTGATTAGTATTGTTCATGATGACTTTTTTCCCTTTTCCTTTCTTTTTTCTTGCGCTTTGAATTTCATGAATTCCGTTTTAGATAGCTGTTGTCTCTGGAAGCTTTTCTTTATTGTCAGAAATTGTTGTTTATGGCTGTTGGGTTTGGGTTGAGATGAATGTGGTGAATCCAGTGGTTGCACTTACTTCTCTGTGTATCATTACATACTTGGTAAACCTGCCAAGACACAGGCAGGAGAATGGCAAGTAGAGAAGTTAGGACTTTTTGTTTCCTTGGCATGTGACAATATTCTCTGTCTTTGTGCCCTTGTTCGGGGTTCAGTGTTACAGTTTCAGAGTACAGGATTGCGACATGTATTTGTACTGTATTGCACAACTGGGTTTGATTGTTTCTCTGGTCAAAACTAATTATCTAGTCGAGTTCATTGCTGAAAGGAAGAGTCCTGGTTTTGATGATTTTTATTTTTGTTATAATCTGCTTTTGCAATCAGTACATAAATGTTTTACAAGGGTGGAGTGATATTTTGATAGTTTATCATGATAAAAACTGAACTGTTTCCATTTGGAGGTATTTGTGGTTATTAAACAGAGGCAAGAAAACAGAGAATTTTAGTGAATTTCACAAAACAAGTTAAAGTCCTTTCTAACAGTTAATAGCCTGTGCCTTTTTTAAGTAGGTACTGATACTCTGTATTTTCCTGTTCCTTTCAACTGGGCTTTTGCACCCCATGCTCAATACTTCAAGGATTAATGCACTTAACTGAAACTAGTGAAAATTGATGTAGTCAACAGGAGAACGTGCACTTATAAACAGTTCCTGTGAGAAAAGATTTTCAGGATAGCATGGTTTGTAGTGTCTCCTCAAAAGACAGTTTCTATCATCTGTCACCTTCAGAGTTAAGATAGATGTTTGAGACAGCTAAAGAATGTAAAGATGCCAAACCTGGACTTGCATGGGCTTCAGTTTCCATTTAATTTGTTAGAAAACTGCAATCTTTTAATTAAATATTTAAAGACATATGTATCTAGTGACTTTACCAAATATTTTACATTAAAATACGTGAAAAAGCAAGCTTTTCAACTGTTGTGTTCTAGTTATCTTAATTGTTTGCTTATGTTTGTTTTACAGAAATCCTGTGTATTATATGACTTAGATGTTGTGACTCTAAATGAAAGTAAGAAGAGAACCTGCTGTACATTCTGAAATATTGTTTCGTGTTCCGTTTGCTCTTCAGAAAATATTAAGTGTTGCAAAGGCACACACAAGATTTTAAAAGCGAGCCTGTAATCTCAAAACACAGTGTTCAGGCATCCTTTGTATTACACACACTTTGTTGCCAAATGTTTTTATATGTTTATATTATATTTTCATATTTTTAATGTGAAGATAAAACAGTTATCTGATATTGGAATGCATCACAGGATGACTGTGTTTGCATACAAATGTTTGCAGAAATGTAATGTAAGTGTACAAATTTTCTCCTATTAAAAAGAAAATTGCCTTGACTTTTTTTTTCTGTGTTATTTATACCAGATTTGTAATGTAATGAACATTGACATCACCATCATACAGGCAACCTTCTGATATATGAAATCATATAACATCTCTTTAAGCACCTGATATTTACTGCCATCTCCTAAGATAATTCTATGGAAATTTTTGGCTTTTGTTTCTTTTACATCTATTTCAGAAACATATGTGTTACTTCAATAACCTTGAATAGGGAGGCTGCAAAAGTGAGAGCTAAGAAGAAAGAATAAACCATATACAAGATTGGTGTCATAGAATGGTTTGGGTTGAAAGGGAGCTTAAAAATCATCTAGTTCCAACTGCCCTGCCATGGGCAGGGATGCCTTCAACTAGGGTATGTTGCTGAACCTTCCTAAGAAGGCAGAAAACAGAGAACAACACAATCCTGTAATACACATCCTGTAATAATCATCTTTCTCATGTGAAGTTGTATAATTCTTTAAAATAATTCATGCAGGTGTTAGCAGCATACCTGTATTTTCAAATGTTTGTTTTGTCACAGATGATTGCTATATAAGGGTTTGTTTGATATTGTGATGTATTCATGTTATTTTCTTAAAGTATAAATAGATTATACTCATACATTGTATGAGTATAATGATTCTGCTCATTTAATCTGCATTATACTGGTATGTAATACCTTTAATTTCAGTGGAGGATATTAGATTTAATTTTAAAAAAATTAAATGAGGGCAGAATCATGTTGCTGGTTACTTTTTGTTTAATCAGAGGCAAAGAGAGCACAAATCAAACTTGCAGGACACAAAATGAAAGGACAGATTGGGAAATCTGAAGAATTGTGGCGACTGTATTGTTGTTTTTGGGGGGGAGGGTTGTGTGGGAGATGCTGTTCTTTCTGATTATTAAATTTAATTGTTTTATCATCATTTGTGAATGAATAATACTATGCAAAATTCTGTCGTGACCTATCCCAGCGTATCCAAAATAACTAGCTCCACTGGCTTACTGTTTTGAAATGTCACTATGCTCCTGAAATATGCTTGCTTCTTTTTTGGGGGGCTGTTTGCAGATTGTCATAATATCAATTTATTATTAGAGTTGGTATTGAGACAGGGAGCTCTAGTGGAAGATGCTTTCTGAAGCACATGGGACCGAATGTGCTTGAGCATACTGCCAGGTGTGTGTGCCACTAGCCCAGTTAGTGTTCTTGCAGAAAGGGTGCGAAAGGATGGGAAGGGCTACATATTTACAGCTGCTCCTGACTACTCACCATGGGCAGTCACTTAAGCCAGCGTTTATGGCAAAATCTGAAAACAAGGAACAAAGGATAATCCCTGCCTTCGTTACAACCATAGCAGAGAAAGGAAATAGTGCTGGAAGGGATTTTGAGAGGCTGTCTAGGTCCTCATCATATCTCAGCCTCTGATCAGCTGTCCCTGCTGTACTGCAGGAACATGGTTAGAGACTTGGAGTGATAGAGATTTCAGAGTGGCCACCGTCCTTACTGAACTGTTACCTAACTGGTACACAAGGAAAGTAGGTTCTTCCTTTTGCCTTCCCTTGCCTTCCCTTGCCTTCCCTTCCCAAACCTAACCTTCCCTCCCAAACCTTCCCTTCCCAAACCTTCCCTTCCCAAACCTTCCCTTCCCAAACCTTCCCTTCTCCTCTTCTCACCAGACAACTCCTGTCCCTTCTACCTTCCCAGTCCAGTCTGTCAAAAGATCTTTAACTTACCTATGTGTTTTGCAATCTATTTCTTCATTTTTCTAGCCTAAGCTCCTAGACTTTTGTTGGTGGTACTAGTAAGTGAAATCACATTTGCCTTCTAAAATTGAAGACTGAGGTTAAAAAAAGGCATTAAGGATACTGGCATCTCAGTATCACTAGCCCTGAAGTGATGATTAAATAGGTTTCCCCCTCTATGGAATAATAGACCAATTTTTTTCCTTGGCCTTATCTCTATGCCTCTTATCAACATCCTTGCTATCTTTTAAATCCAATTTTCTAACATTTTGGGACCTTATCTTTCAGGTTTTGTCTGTACATAGTCTATACATTTATTCATAATTTAGTAATTTGATGAAGTTTCTATTTTCCTTCTGGTCAATGAAGATCAGATGATTCAACCAACTTAGTCTTTATTTCACTTCCTCCTCCTCTGCATAGATCAAATTCTGCAGTTTTGCCTTTCTGCAGTGGATCTCTGATGAACTTTTAGCAGTCCTGAACTTGCAGAAGTTTAGCTACTAGTTCTCTGCGTTTGTCTCCGTTTAATTTCTCCTCCTTTTCCCAGCAATGAAAGTAGATAAAAAAGGGCTAGACTGATTTGTAATTTTGATTTCTTCTCTTTGTAACTAATGAGAATTTCAACTACAGGAATTTCTTCTTGCAGTGTTTTCTACTTCTTGTGGCTTAGGTATGATCCAGTCAGTGGCGCACCTTACTGAGATGCAAATATTCAGGTTTCACCTAACACTCCAGGTACCATGAGTGCTGTCCTTTTCGCATCTCTTGGAGCAAAACAACTGCCTTTTTCTAAGCATATGCATTGTGGATTACATTCAGAGGAACGTGCAACTGGGGAAAAACTGCCACTCTCACTAGGAACAAAAAACCTCCTGCCAAACTGCGACATGCTGCGTTTAAAGGTATTCTCGAACTAGAAATAAGGATGTAAGTTGAAAGTATTGTCTTCATTTAGTTTTCTAAAAAGCTGGCTGGATGACAGTGTTGCACAAATTCCCACAGATGGAGTTTTTAGCTTCAATAAAGGTTAAATAAGGGATTTGACTGAAAAAAGGAGGACACCTCTTACAGTGAAACGGAAGACCCTCAGATATCTTTATAATACCTTGCATGAGCGAAGATTGCCTAGATTTTGCCAGTAATACAGGAATAGTGTTCTTTTTCAAAACATGAGATGTGCAGATATCAACTGTGTCAAATACATTGTTCTCTTTCCCCTTCCCCCTTTGCCTCAGGATCCCCCTGGATCTGTGGACTGAGGCCAGTTGTATGAGGCCCAATGAGGAGAAGTGCCAGGTCCTGATCTTTGGTCACAACAACCCCTTGCAGCACTACAGGCTTGGGGGAAAAGTGGCTGAAAAGTGGCCCTTCAGAAAAGGACCTGGCAGTGCTGGTCAACAGCAGCTGAACATGAGCCAGCAGTGTGTCCAGGTGGCCAAGAAGGCCAATGGCATCCTGGCCTGTATCGGCAATAGTGTGGCCAGAAAGACTCAGACCACCAAGTCACCCTGTACTTGACACTGGTGAGGCCAAACCTCAAGTACTGTGTCCAGTTTTGGGCCCCTCACTCCAAGAAAGACATCGAGGTGCCTGGAGTATGTCCAGAGAAGGACAACAGAATTGGTGAAGGGTCTAGAGGGTGCGTCCTGTGAGGAGTGGCTGAGGGAGCTGGGGTTGCTTAGCCTGGAGAAAAGGAGGCTCAGGGGTGACCTTATCCCTCTCTACAACTACCTGAAAGGAGATTGTAGCCAAATGGGAGTCAGTCTCTTCTACCAGGCAACTAGCAACAGGAGAAGAAGACATGGTCTCAAGCTGTGCCAGAGGAGGTTCAGGTTGGACATCAGGGAGAATTTCTTCATAGAAAGGATTGTTAAGCATTGGAATGGGCTGCCCAGGGAAGGTGGTGGAGTCACCAACACGGGAAGTGTTCAAGACATGATGGGACATGGCACTCTGTGCTGTGGTTTACTTGGCATGGTAGTGTTCAGTCAAAGTCTGACTTGAATGATCTTGGAGGTCTTTTCCAGCCTTAATGATACTATGATTCAGAGAAAGTTAGATATTTAGGACCTGCTTCTGAAGTGATCACTGCATCTTCTGTTATATCCCATTGGACTTGTAAATATTTATGAAAATCAGGCCTATAAAGGCAAATCACAGGTAGGAAGAAGGAATGCAAATTCATGGGTTTTTTTTTAAGAAATACGAACAGCTTCACATGAAACTTACTGTATAAAGCTCAGTTTTATTTGATGTGTGCATACAACATTGTAAAGCATGTTCCCGGATACATAACTAAAAGCAGTTTGTAGTTCCATTTCAGATGTTAGCATTGGCAATGGAATAAATATATACTAGAGATTTTACAGCCTGCTGCATAAATGTGTTGTTAAATTAACATGAAAGTCAATTCAAAATGCATTTAAGAATAATTTCAAGAATTATTCTGAGTCCCTCTGCCACTGCTTATGGTTTTATGGAATGAATTTGCTGTTGATTTGTAAAGAGTGTCTCTGAATACCACCTGAAAAGCACATGCAGGAAAACTAAGATGTTGCATAACTGAGACCCTGGCCCTAAGGTGGACCTGCTCACAGCAAGTCCTCTCCAGGTCTAGTGGCTTCGTTAGCATTTTGTACCAGTAGGAGACTAGTAAGAGATCACACTAAGGGACTAAGGCATTGCTAGACATCAGAGAAATTTTTATCTCTAAAGTGTTAATTACACATAAGGTGCAGTTAAAACAAGAAATCTTCTGAGGCTCATATGTGCTGCTGATTTGAATGGCGTGTATGTAATATTAGAATGTATTTCAAGAAGACAGAGCTGTAGTACAGTTAGGACACATAACAAAGTCACTCTAAGAGTAAGAACAAGATATTTAAATACCAGTAAGTGTTATGATATCTCTGCCTGGAAACAACTGAATGAAATTCAGATAACATCTAGAAGTTAATTTTTTTTTAAAATGCACCTTGTTCCAGTAAAATGGCTAAGAGTGAGCTGGATTTCCACTGGTTGGAGAGAACACAAACACTTTTATAGGAAGACAGACTTAAAAGCCATAGGACTTCTAGTATCATCTGAAGAATGAAAAAAATCTTTCAAGAAGAATCAGCAGTGACTATTTCTGTGCAAAAGATGCTTTTCTTCCCAGATAGCAGAAGTGCATGATGTCCAAGAGAAGCATATGCTGTGAGATGGTATCGGTATCTACCCTGGAATTAATGGTACCCAAGATAGTGTTTAAGAACAATTCTTGCAAGAC